GATTTAACATTTAGTAATAATTAAAWACATGTAAGAACAGCAAGTTTAATAACAATAAAATAGTGGAAATTTCTGAACCAGGATTTTACACTTAGAAAGTGAGCTAAATAATGAAAATGTGTTTGTGACATTTAACATTTTATTTTTCACATTTGTGATGTTTGTATTGATATGAGACAAAAAATAACAAACAAAACAAAAAAATACATAATTTTACCTGAGATTGCTCCCATAGTGAGGTAGAGATGGAGAAGACAAGTGGACTGTGAGGCCAGAATGAGTCCGAGCCCAGAGAGGAAGCCTCCTATCATCACCACCAGCCTGGCGTTATAAGCGTTACTAAGAGCTGCACCCAGTGGACCTGCAAAATGAACACAGGTTTTTATAAAAAACAATCAATATTTTAACTCATGTTGACATTAAAAGACCTTTTTCACTTTTAGATTAATGTCAAAAAAGATCTGAGATGTTTAATGGCTGTTATCACTGAAGAAAACTTTACTTTCCAACATCTTGTACAATCAATTAGGGACTGTCTTTTTYYCCCCAATTWATWTGAGTCCTTATTTTCGTATTTAAAYACGTTGAAAGTGGCGACTCACTGAAGAACTGCTGCGCTGCCAGGCCGATGGACGAGATCCAGGAGATGGCCTGAGCGCTCTCCTCGAAGTACTGGACGAACTCCACGAAGAAGATCCCCAGGCTGCGCATCAGGCCGAAGACCAGGCTGGTGCTGATGAACATGGCAGCCACCAGCACCCAGCCCCAGCCCCCGTCCGGACCCTCGGCTTCATCGCTCCAGCTCTTGGGCTTCAGCTTGGAGTCGGTCATGTCTGTCGGAGAGTTACCTGGGGAAAAATTAAAAAAAACAGCAGAGGTGATCTGTTAGAAGAAGAGTCTCAGGAAAAGCAAACGCAGCACAAGTCTTAGAGTCTCTGTGGTTGTTAAAAACGGTAATGATTAACTTCCAACAAGCCAATCAACTCTGTGTGAGTCCTGAACGTGTAACTGTGTTGCTTGACAAATTAACTCTTATTTACCTGATGTAGGTGAAAGGTGAGGGAGCTGCAGCAGGAACTTGAGACTTTACAGATTACTTTGGGTACAAACTAAATAAACTGCTTGAACTCTTGCTAGACTTTAACAGCATTCAGCAGTGTTGAAACGCACAGAAATGTTAACTACGTGTTATTAGCATGGTGTTTTATGTGAGGAAACATCCAAGTGCTGAGAGAATAAACAGAGCGTGTAAAAAAGATTCACCTCCTTGGATGTTTTTGGTCTTTTTTTTTCTCTTATAAATGAGTCTGATTTAATTAAATTAGTATTTTTTAAGAAAAAATCTCTTCACCCTCCTGCTGCGCTTAGGTCAAAATGACCCCTGAGGCTTCAGTTGTAAATGATCATTATTGGCCCTGCAAGCCTTTATATAGGAGATACTGTAGCAGTAGAGAACGATACCCGTGAGGTCTGTGATGGTAAATAAAGATTAGCCTAATAAAAACATTTTTATTATTAAATGCATTTGGTCAGACCAGATCAACACTGAAGTGATTCACATTATATAGAAGAAATAAGGGATTTATCTGTTCATATTTGACTAACTGTATCCTCCCTTAAAATTATCTCTTAGAAAATCTATTTTTTACGTTTTATTGAATATATCAACATAAATGTAACAGACACATTTACTAATATACAATATTCATAGGGTCAATGGTGTCAGCAGACATTTACATTTACATTAGCCCACCCCTGCATCACTTTTTATCCATCAATGATCTTGGCTGATATTGAATTTATATTATCTGTATTTTAGGATCATGGGCCTAAATATAAAAGCTGATGGATATATCTTTAAAATAACGACAGCAAGTTAAAAAGCTATAACTCAGTGATGGCAGGGACCCTTTCACCATTAATCAGTGATGGACATTATAATATTCAGAGCATTTTGACCCTTAACCTGAAACTCTTCCTCCTGTTTAACCCCATTGTTGCTAGATTTGTATGTATTTTAACTCTTTATTTTAATCTTCTGTTCTAATTTAAAATGTTCTGATAAATAAGAGCGTATGAAAAAGGGAAATATGGATTTCTTACAAAATTATGATTCCAACAACTATTAAAGAAATATATTAAAATAACGTAATGCAAACTAAAATAATAAAGATAAAGTATTCCATAATTAAAACGATTATTATTATTATTATTATTATTATTATTATTATTATTATTATTATAAAATGAAACCTTCCAGGCTGTGATTGGCTGATTAGTTTAACAAGCTCTTAAACTCACCTGTTCATCTAAAATTAGATGAACAGGTGAGTTTGTTTGTTTCATTATTAAATAATGAAGCTGCAGTGTAATAAAATATAATGTCTTCATAATTCATGTGAAGACGATCAACCTAACTAACCTGTCAGCAGGCACTGTGCACGTGCTGCCTGTCTCTGATGGCAGGTGACGTAATCTCCCATGGACTTCTGTCATAAACCTACCGGGATCAGTTTTGTATAGATTACTCACAGAGTAGTTTCATTATTAGTGGTTAGCTGCCGAGTTAAAAACAAACCGCTTCGTATCGAATAGACTCTGAAGCCGAATGAAGCCGAGAGAAGCCGAATGAAGCCGAGAGAAGCCGAGAGAAGCCGAATGAAGCCGAGAGAAGCCGAGAGAAGCCGAGAAAAGCCGAATGAAGCCGAGAGAAGCCGAATGAAGCCGAGAGAAGCCGAATGAAGCCGAGAGAAGCCGAATGAAGCCGAGAGAAGCCGAATGAAGCCGAGAGAAGCCGAATGAAGCCGAGAGAAGCCG